ACAAGACACTGGCTCTGCTGCAGGCTAGCTCAACAAAAAGACCTACCCCCCTTTCACTCTTGAAATGGGTCACATCAGCTTCTGAAGAACTCGAACCTGAAATTGCAGACAAAACACTGGCCGTTGCTCCAACTCGGGCCGCTGCAGTCGCAGTTGCTGCTGACGCTGTTGACGTTGTCAACAACCTGAACAACCTCCGATTTGCTCGCATCGGAAGTTCTCCACTGCCATGACATGCTATGCAGGCTTCCATACGGCGCTGGGGCGGTCTCCCTGATGTCTCAGAAGGCTCTGGCGGGGCCTCACTGGCCGGTGCCTTCGCAGCTGGAACTCTTGAAATCATAGACATACTGTACCCCGATGAAGGGGCAATTGTCTCAGCTTCCAATGCTCCTCCTGGACCAACTCTGAATGGCCTATGGGGCGGCTCCCCCACAAGCGACGCTGCTTTCACTTCAGGGCTCTTCGGAGTAACCAAATCCACAGCTGGTGATGCCTTTGCACCGGGGCTCGCCTTAGGCGATGTGGGCTCTCCAGCTTTCGCCTTTGGAAGCGTCTTGGGTGGCGTCTTTGGCGCACTTGAAACTCTTCCTGGAACTGGTGGTGGCGGTGGTACCTGAGGTGGCGCCGGAGGCGCTGGCGGTGGTGGTAGTGGGCCCTTGGCTGGAGAAGGCTTCACTGGAGGGGCCTTCACAGGGAACTTGGCTGGTGCAGGCGGTTGTTGTGGCCCTTGCGGAACCCACCCCTTCGGCGGGTGTGCAGGCGGCTTCGGACCCCTCGCCACTGCCGCATTGCTGCTGGCCGGAAGCTGGCCGCTTCTCTTCGGTGGCGTCTGAGGGGGACACATCCCAGTCCTCTGACGGGCTCTCGGAGGGCTACCTTCTGCTGGGGTCTCCTCGGACCAACCGTGGCCTCTCAGCCTCTTGTTGTGCAACCTCAGTGTCTCCTGGGTCAATCCAACCTGTGAAATTGAATCACCCGGGGCAACCTCATCGCCCACAGTAGAGTCTGGCTGGTGCTGTCCTCGTGGCGTCAGAGTCACACGCCCATGAGTAAGGCTCACCCTTCTCTCCATCTCAGGACACTGAGAGATAATGTGGCCTTTCTGTCCACAATGACCACACTTCAGACCTTTCGGATTCTTCCAGCTGAATCCACTGAAGGACCTTACAAAGGCGGGTCCTTTGTCTTCCTCAGCTTTCGGGTTTCTTGTATCGATCTGCAACTCCTCTCTCTTGTTTGACTGAGGGTTGTACATCCTTCGGACGACCCTTCTCTGACCTGGCAATCTCGACCCTGTCACAACCTCAAACGTAGGTGTTGGCCTCGATTCCTCTTCTCTCCTCTGTGCAGCGACTTGAGTTTTCTTATGAGGCCCTTCAGAGGGCCAACAAACCAACAAATTCAACCAAATTCTGAGCAGGTATATATGGAGTTGATTCTCCATATCACCACGAACTGAGAGTGTCTTCATGATCCTCTCCATATCACCACGAGCTGACAGTGTCTTCATGATCCTCTCCATATCACCACGAACTGACAGTGTCTTCATGATCCAATGCAACAGTCAGAGTACCTGGCACGGGCGTGAAGAATCAAATGCGTGCGTCTCACTCCAACTTCTGTGATAGTGAGCTGTATGAATAACCACGCTGGGGCAATTGTAATACGCTTGGGCAACGCGCCAGGGTGATATGCTGGGGGCACTGGGTGTCTGGGGGGGGGTAGGGCGCGCAAAAAATCACGATTTAGGGGAAGAGACTAATTTGCTCATGTTTTTTGTTCTTATTTTTGTGGCTTTTGCGCATATTTTTGGAGAGTGGACTGAAGTGAATGTCATTGAAAACATACGGACATGCATCGCGGAAAAACTTGTGGGAGAGCGCTATCTTACTAGAAGGGATGGTCCATTATCATGCTTTTTTGTGATTTTGGGGCGTCGCCTAAAGGTACATTAGGCGACTTTCCGGTTTTTTCCTCATAGGCACGCACAAAACGCACACTCAGCGCCACATTTCAACCTGGAACTTTTTTTTTGATCGGTACTTCATTTCTATCAAAAAGCATGGGTTTAGGCGACCTTCCATTTCAATGCAACAGCCGCTGGCTCACAGACTACGCATCTTAATTCAAGGCAAGGGTCAAGATGGTGGAAACATCACGCAAATAAAACCACAAGTTTTATGTTCAAAACATGTTTGGAATCTATTTCATACTCGATTTTTCGACCTGTAGCCTATTACCTGCGAAAGCGAAATGGCGAAATCCATGAAAGGCAAGAAGGTTCCAAGGAAAGTTGCGAAGACTGTGAAGAAGGGCAAGAGTTCGAAAGCAAAAGAAGAGTCCAAGCTTGGGCAAGCATGCAGCATGTCTGGTCCGCTTTGGAACGCCTGGAGGGGTCATGTTCTAAAGCATTCGACTTGGCTCTACGTAGTCATCACTTTGACGCACGCATTATGTCTCAGAGTGACAGAAGCTCTGTCCCTCCGTCGCTGTCATTTCAATTTCTCCAAGAAGTTTGTCACTATCCCTGCTTTGAAAAGGCAGCCGCAGGCCAGACTCTGTTGTGATGTTGAAGTTTCTGCAGCGTTTTATCTATGGTTCTTGTGAAAATGTGGCATAACATGGCATATCTATATTATAGAAAGTCTCAAAAGTATGATACACCTTGAAGGCGAAATGACATCCGATGATAAATCCTAAGAATATAATGGTCTATCACAATGCGATAAGTTCCCAGACTCTTGCTATCACTTAGGACCACTTCATTGAGAACCGTTGGGTTTAAAGGTTTGAAACTTCAAACAGTGAAACCATGTTCCAAATCCATCAGAAACCATAAAAAATCAATGTCTATTTTGTTGGTTGGACCCTCCCAAAATGAACGGTTTTCCATAGATTCATTCACAAAACATGACAGGTCAACAAGCGGATGCTGTCCACCGTTCTACCAGTTCTAAAGAGTTTGAGGGACACCGGAGTGAGTCGACGGCGGAGAGTTCAATGTGGATCTCGGGGCTGCCAAATGATCACCGATTCATGGAAATGGCCAAAAACCAATGATGGCCTACTATTTCCGGCACCCCGTGCTAATGGAAAACCTCGGAAAAAGGATGTCGTATGCCACCTGATTTGCAAAATTCGAAAGACATTTGTACCTCCACCTGGCTGCAACCTGGTTTTACAAAGCATTAGATCGCATAGCGGCCGACATCGAATGATCAATGATATGAAAGCCAGTGAAGCTAGCTGTGAGACTGCCATGGGGTTTGCCAGAATCCGAGACAAAAAAACATATGATGGCTATGGAAAGCTAGAAGACTCTCAAGTTGGGAACGCCTTGGAGAAGAACAATCGGTTGAAGAAAGAATTGAAAAAATTGTACAAGGGCTAGTAACTAATTACACCTGTGAGACTTGACCTGTGAGACATCACTGCGCTCTGTAAAAAATGCTGCTGCCTTTTTGCCTGGGAGTCAGAGCGGTGATCAAGCCCCAATGGCCGGAAGCAAGGCCTCTAAGAGCCGTTCAAAAACATTGACCGTGAAACTGTTGCCAACCATTTGGCACAAAACGGTAGTATCGTTGTTTCCATTCAGAGCTGGGGCCACCTCATGTTTTCGGTAGCCTTGGCATTTCAAAAGTTCCAGTGGCCTCATTGTGTCTTGCTGGTGGGTCAGCCACAAAGCATTCGCATGAGACTTTGTGATGGTGGGAACCTTCTCCTTTTCAAACCTGCATCCCCAGTTCATGGAGTTTTGCAAATCCACAACCCAACATTCTTTCAAAGGTTTTGCGGCTGGGTCTTGTTTTGAAATCTGTGTCACAGCCTTTGCGATATTGTGCAAAGCAGTGTTACTCAGAGATTCATAGCTCTTCTGATTTGCTGCATTGCGAGGCTCGAGAAGAGGTGAGAGCTTCACGGGCGGAAGAGACGAAGGCCAGGTCCACTTTGCAATGAGTCGATCCTTGCGGATTCCCACAAAGTAAACTCTTTCACGTGCAGCTGGAACTTGACCAATGTCATAGCTGTCCAACACCCGAAAGTCAATGTAGTAGGCGGTCTTCCCAAGCTTCAGCAAAGCCAACAAAATCTTCAACGCTTGATCTCGAAAGACTTCCGCTCCAACCAAATCTGGGACCTGCTCCAAGATGAAGAGATCTGGGAGCAAAGTCTCAAGAGTGTCAACAATGTGCCATATGACTTCACTTCGTTCGTCATTGCTTCCACCCCGCTTCCCCTGACAGCTGTAAGGCTGACAAGGGAAGCCAGCACAATAAACCACTGCTGCATGCTGAGGCGGTGGCAACTGGCTTCTGATCATCCAGTGTTCACGCTTGGTCATATCCGAGAAGACCTCCCGGCAGTCAGGGTGAAGAGTTTTGAAAACTTTCATGTACTTGGGATCGATCTCGCTGCCAAAGAGATGCACCACTTTGCTTCTGAGACGCTTGAGAGCAAAGGCTGCCCCATCAAGTCCAGAGCAGTCTGAGCAGTAGAAAATCACTTTTCGAAGGGGCAACCCATTGGGCCGTGGAACCTGTGCATCTGCTGGGTGTGGAGGCTCCAGTTGCGCAGAGACTGGCTTGGAAGGCTTAAGCTTAGGCTTCTCTGTGGCACGGCGCTTTTCCACCAACTTCACTCCAGAAGCAGCAGCTGCAGGCCGGCGCGAACCCTTGCCCATGCCCAACGAACGCTGCTGGAGTCGGACGCCCGACGCACTGGAGTCACTAGATCGTATAAATGCAGCAAATGAAATGACATTCCAAACATAGAATCAGATAATGAGATTTCGGAAATGTTCGAAACGACATGAAAACGGAAAACGCATAATAAACACGTGACAACAAACTGCGCTGACATCATGCAATCTACATGCCAGTGACTCAACTGAATCTGACCCGCCCTGGCCAAAACGACGTTGCTCCAAAAATGAAAACTCAGTTGAAACCTTGTCAACCTTGGCACCTTCTGCTCAAAAGTGGAAAGTGCAACATCTCTTTTCACGGCTTGGCCCGGCCCAGTTTGTAGTGGCGGCTTGAGTGATTGCCGACCCACATGGCGATGCTAGTGCAGTTTCTTACTGCAACATCTTGACATGGCCTGGCACATTGCTGTCCTGACGTTTTGTCAACGCAATTCAAGTTCTAATCATTTTAAATGACTGCAACCGAATCAAAGCTCGCAGTCCTGCATCCAACCCCCAAGAGCTGACTGTGGACTTTAAATGGTTGCCTACAAAATAGCCATTCAGCCTTCGGCTGTCATTGCTCTGATGGAAGCAAGAAGGGCGTCACGGGACGAGGCGGCATCTTCGCCACTGCCACTGCCAGCACTGTTGCCACCGCTGCCGGTAGTCGGCCTAGCGTTCTCAATCTCCACCGTGGGCTCACCATCTCCAGCGGGTCCAGCGCCATTGCCACCTGCACAGGGCATTGGAATCATGATTACAAAAAACAATTCCACACTGCAAAATTTGGCAACATGGAAAACTTATGAAAACTAACTTGACCACATATTCGACAAAAAAGCCAGCCTTCATCATCAGTCGCACGCAGAACTGCCGCAGCAAAGTTGGCATCGTACAATGAGTCGTTGTTGTCCATCATTGCCGCAGTGGTCTTTGAGATCAATTTCTGCTGGAGCAAATCCTTGTGAAGCGACGTCATTGCAATGCCCAAGTAAGGCACCCTATGACGCACAGCATACATGGCAAAGTGACCCGACCCAGGACTCAGGTCAATGATGGCCTTGCAAGACAAACAGTGGGCAATCTCGGAAGCCAATGCTTCTGGTGCCTCATGGTAGAAGGCCGGCACTAACTCCTGAGCTCGGGTCTTTCCTTCCTTCTCATGTTCCACCGGGCATCTCCCACCTGGAAGTGGTAAGTTGTCAGCTCCGAACATGTCTCGCTTCTGCTGCATGGTGAGGTTCCAGGTCTTCACGGTGTCGGTCCACTGAGGTTTCCCCAAAGGGCCGATCACATTGCCACGGGTGTCACCTTCAGTGACCAAACGCTTTTGCACCTCCGGCGCTGCACTCCAAAATCAACCGAAAATGCAGTTTCCAATCATTGCTGCTGTGACTTACAAAGATGAATCTAGACCCTGCCAGTTCAATGCATGTACAAACTTAAGCTGCAAATTGAAACTAACTGGCACACGACGACGAAATCATCAACACTCCCGTCCCAGGGCCCAGCCTTCAGTTGCAACGCATCCGTTGTCACAAAGTGCACATGCTCGGTCAGGTCAAGTGGTGCCTTCGAGGCTCTTTCCATTCGTGCTTGAACCGATTCGTGCGTGTAAATGACAACATGCTTTGTGGTCACCAAGCTCTTCTGCTTCAGTATCTTGTTGATTTTCTCCATCCAATCCGATCCTTTGCCTCCATCAATGCAGACAAGGACATCGCCTTCAGTCAGGCCATCATCTCGAGTCCCCAAAAATCCTGTCAACAGGCGGCTCATTTGGGGCTGTCTGGTGGGTGGAATGCGGTACTTCGCTTGCGAGCCGCATTCGCAAAGGGTTTTGCCATCCATCACTATGGCGACGTAGCTTTTGGATTCAGCATCACCACGGATCTTTGAAGCCAACTGGTCTGCAAGGAGGTCAGTGAGGCCATCCGTTGTGTCAACGACAAAGGACACCTGGCCTTGGACCTTCCGCTCTGCACCGCGCACGCCAGCTTCGATGAGTGGGGCTGACTCGTGCTTCGGGTTGGATTTGAGCAGAAGCTCTGGCGATGACAGGTTCACATTGCTGATCTCTAACTCAAGAGCCTTCTCTGCAGCCTCTGCGGTGGTGACATCATCCTCTGCCTCGTCGGCGCCAGTCTCTTTGGCATAAGCATTTTTGACCTTCTCCATGAAATGCCTGACAGGGCTAAAATTTAACCCTTACGTCTGACTGCTTGTTAAAAACCAACGAAACTCTTGAGAAAAAAATGGCCTTGCCTGGTCTCCTTGTGGTTGAAAATGTCGTCCACCCCTTTGTGGTTCTTCAGGCAAGTCAACAGCACGGAATCCAGCTTGTAGCCATACACGACGGCCTCAAAGATGGTCAAGAACTGGTCGGCTGAGCTGGGCCACTGACCGCGCTGCTGGTACGCGATCTGGAGTTCAGGAATGTCATAGAAACCCATGTGTTGTCTAAACACCAGCAGTGAGTCGGTGATTTTGCGAATCTCTGTTTTGACACAGGTGTCCCACGTATACTGAGTCTCCATGCACCGGTACAAATAGTCCCTGAGGTTCCGCTTCATCAAAAAGACGCGGATGAGGGATGCTCCCAAAGGGCCATCTTCCTGCAGAACACGTATCGGGATTTGGTCGCGCCCGTCGGTGTGCTGCCAATGGTCAAACAGCATTGGGAAGACCCAGCACATGTTCGACTCTTTTTTCTCGCACTGGATCACCACTTCCCTGACTTTGTACACCCCGTCTAAGGGGTTGGCCGGCAGCTCATCAAATTGGAACAGGACCTGCTGCACAAGCGGTATGTGCAAGGCACTGGAGTGCAACATCTGCGCCACTTCTACGAAACCGACTTTGACGGGTTCCGAGGATTTGCAGAACTTGATCTTCTTGTAGTACTCCGCCAAGGTATGCTTGTTCAGCTGAATCTTCTCCTTGCCTTTGAAAGACTCAAGCTGCCTCTTCAAGTCCATGATCTCGTAAGTTCGCATCAGCGAGCTCACCTTCATGTTCTCCCATTTGAGGCCGATGTCCTCCCGCCTCTGGACATTGCAGGTGAACATCTCCGCAAGCTTGCTGGATGACTGGTCTGCCACCTGTGTGCACATCGAATCCATGGGCCCATGATTGATCTGGACGGGAAGAAAACCACAATGTAAAGAGTCGAAAAGGAAAACACACCGACTGGGAGAAGTAAAAAAGGTAGCATGGTATAAATTTGAAATCAGATCCTAGCTGGCCCAGCCCATGCATGGGAACGAACCTGCCTCAAAGCGCATCACCACTGACATCAAGACTTCCTTCCACTCCTTCAGAACCTTGGCCGGCTTCTTCTCACCAATTGCTCGGGCCACCGCCTGACGCAATGCATCCCGCATCTCGGGCGGGTCGCTGGCAAGCAAAGCACCTGTCATGGTATGGGGAAGCTGGCCCGGCTCCATGAAAATAATCACGGGGTCGTCCTTGAGAAAAGCTGGAGTGGCAAAGAAGTGTTCCTCCAAATTGTTCACCCTGGAATGGTACCGGGGAACAGAAGCTTGAACCTCATATCCCAGATTGAGCCACATCAGGGGGCAGCTGGCAGCGTAAGGCCTGCCAGCTGCCAAAGCCTCTGCAGCTGCCTGCTCAGAATAAGCTGGAACGCCTGAGGCTCCATTCGGCGATCCCTTGATGAGAGAGCCGCCGTAGTAGTCCAGAATCTTGGCATCACACTGCATCAAGTGAGTTTGCAACTTGGCATTGACGCTTGCACTGCCATTCATGGTTGGAATGGTCGCAGCTGCTTTCGCGGCAGCTTTGATCTTCTTGACCTGGGCGGCCTGGTCGGTGCTTGACTGGCGCTTCTTAGCCATGGGTCACAGCTAAGTGTCTCCGGGAAGCACTGACTAGCACTGAAGCTGACTGAGAAAATTTGCTATAGAATCCATGCATGAAAATCTCCCTACTACAGTGCCTCAGGGCCAACCAGTTGGCTCTCATTTCTATTACGACACTCAAGCCTGCAGCGCAAACCACTAATTTGGAGCCGGACGTCCGGCTCCAGAATTGCTAGTTCAAGATTGCTATACTGCAGAAAAGATCACTGCAACCTCAAACGATGATGCTGACCTGAACTAACTAATCTCAAGCTCGACCTTGCTCGTATGGAGCCAAACGTTTGGCTCCAGATTGCTCAGCTGCCTCGCTCTGGCAACGGTCTTTTGCTTCTCGAAACTGTGATCCCCCAACATGTTTTCTTAAGGTTCCTTGCAGGTGAGACTGGGGACTGGTTGCCCAAATTACGCGCCACCATGATATTAAACCCTAAGCTCCCCAAAACATGTTGTATACATACATGTGGAACAAACTGTTGACTTCCTTCCTTGTTGTTTAGCTGACACAGGTGACAAGGGATGAGAAGACAGAGCTGGCAGCTCAGCTCCACTTTATCGGAGTTGCGCAAGCACTGCTTCAATTTCTGTCATGCATGCTCCTGAGCTGTAGAGACAATTAAAAACAACACAAAACTAATAATAAAGTCTAGGCAAAGACAATAAGGTGTCTGAATGTTGGCTCAGTTTGTACGGCTCGAGCTCGGGAAACCAGAAGCGCTAGACTGACTAATTGTTTAAATCATAACGTATCCTGCTTGAATTCCAATTCATGTTCCATATGTGCTCTCAGATCGCGAAACTTTGGCCAAGAAATCGATAGCCTCTTCCATGCAAAGCTTGTGGGTCACGTGTGTCCATTCCTGCACCAAGGACAATGGAACGAGTGGCTGCTGGATGGCAACGATGCAGCTACAGCATCATGATTTCATCCGGCCGTTTCAGAACTTTGATGTGATTTCACGGTTGTGCACATGACTTCTATGTGTGGGTTGTTCACTGTACATTCATGTTCATGTTTGCATGTGCTGGTTCACAAATGACCAGCGATATAGGCGTGTGTTGACGCTTGAACCTATAAGTATGAAACAATGTAGATTCTCCTTATGTGTATTAGTAAGCAATTCGAAAGTATGCAAGATACATAGATTCATACCTGCATACATATGCACACACATACAAACATGAACAACTACCCAAATACAAATACATATACCTACGACGATGATACCTGCCTACATACACATACACGCATATTTGCATACATACCTGCCTACATGCATATACACGCATATTTGCATGCATGCATGCATGCATGCATACATACATACATACATACAAAGATACAAAGATACATACATTTTTTGACACAAAAGAAATAGGTACAACTATAATGTAGTTGTACCTATTTATTTTGCGTTCAAACCATGCATACATACATACATACATACATACATACATACATAAGATACAAAGATACATACAAAGATACATACATTTTTTTGACACAAAAGAAATAGGTACAACTATAATGTAGTTGTACCTATTTATTTTGCGTTCAAACCATGCATACATAAATACATACATACATACATACATACCATACATACATACATACATACATAGATACATAGATACATACATACATACAACCATGCATACATTACACACATACATTACACACACATGCATACATGCAAACATTCATACATACATAATCATACATACATAGATACATCACATACATACATTTACATTAGATTGCATTGCATTGCATTACACTATATTGCATTACATTGCACTGCGTTGCATTACATTACATACATACATATATACATACATGTAACTTACATACACAATCATGCACAAGCACATACACACTTACATAAATATCTAAGAAGCAAAAACTAACATATGTAGCGCACCGAACCCACACTGACGTTGTACATACTACGTGCAGACGCACCCGCAGGAACATGCACACTCCATGCCCATGAATGCATACATGTATGTAGACATGCACATACGCATGCAAACTGACACAAAAACCATATACAGAAATATATAATGAATATATTAGACCATATAATTTATATATATATGATATAAATGCATACTATACATACTATACATGTATCATAGTACTAATTAAACCTTAATGTATATATATATATACATGTTGTGAATATGTTATAGTATACATATGTGTGTATAAACATCCGACCCTCTCGTAATATGACCTGATCTGATTTGTCGGCGTGGGAGCAAAGCAATATCGCTCCGGACTTCAGCTTCGGCGCTCGAGCCAGGAAGTGATCCTTCGACTTTGCCAAGCTCCATTTCGATCCGTGAAACGTGGTCATCCTGCAGAATGGTCCGCGGAAGGCTGGGCCATGGCAGGTCAAGTGGACTTTGGCTCTCCGATAACAACTCAGAAGTTCAAAATAGATACAAAGATTGTTGTTTTCCTCGTTTGGGATGAAATCATTTTCATAGATACAAATTAACAACATATGACTAACTGATGCATCGAATCTAACACGTCGGCACAGGAAAAAAAAACTGGTGTCTTATTTACCGTTTTCGGAATCCGAAATCGCTGCCTGATACACTTCAACCTTTCTAAATGTCAGAATATAAATGTGTTCAACCCTTTCAAATGTCAGAATATTTAAACTTTTCTTGCCATAAACGTGACATTTCTCATTTTGTTGTGGTTCTCCCGTAGTGGTTCTCCCGTTGTGGTTCTCCCGTTGTGTTGTTCCCCGTTGTGCCTTCCCCGTCGGATCTCGGCCTTCCCGTTGTGTTGTTCTCCCGTCGCTGTTGCCCCGTTGTGTTACCCCGTTGTTTTCCCCCAATGCGCCTCTAGTTCATACTTTTCATCGAGTTTTGAATCTATTTACGATGTTTTTCCATCATTGTTCCATCGTTTTGTTTCAGTTGTGAGGCTTATTGGCCATGGTTTGGATTCCTCCTGACATATATTCTGACATATTTTGTTCCATCCTTTGTTTAAGTTGTGAAGCTATTGGGTTTGGGTTCCTCCTAACATAATATATTGTGACATCTTTCTGTCCAGCCATCAATGGTTACTCAGACAATTTGGGAACGCTTGCTGTATGATTATGAATACCTGAAAAAGATTTTCTTTGCAGATTTCTGTTTCCATTTCTGGCTGTCTTGTTTAGATTTACACACTTCATTAAACGTTGATGTTCATGTCTCACCGGGCCTAGACACCATTGCGTCAGCACTGCTTGCATGCTCGCGGACAAAACCCGCAGTCATCCAAACCAGCCTCTGTGTGGTAAAGACTGGATCAAAGGCACGACTTGCGCCATTACCCGTTTCGACGAACATACGGTCACAAATGACACCACTTGCCAAGACCGCATTCCACATGATGTTTTGGGCAACATCAGCAACACTCGAAACCACGAAGACAGCCCCCTCCTGGAAGCCGGTGCGGTGCAGGAACTACTAATAATACCCCTGTAGCGATTTTCCCGTTGTCCATAAAGAAAAAATGCCAAAAAGGAACCCCGGGAAAATTACAAACCCCCTGAAACTGAAGAATGAAAAATCATCAACGTTCAAAAACCATTAAATGACAAAAAACTTGTCAGTTTATGTGGAGTACATGGGTCCTTCAACAATGCCTTTGTGAGGCCCCTTTCTCGACATAAGGCATCGATATCTTCCATTGACATGTCTAACGTTGGCTCGAAGTAAACCGTGAGTCCAAAAATATCTCTGGCCACTGGTGGCTTTTGGAGTTTCACACGTTTACTTGCATCCCTGATGTAGTTGCCATCCCGTTTGCGTTTCTGCTCCAAATCAGCCAGAACCTTTCGAAGATCATCATCAGACACATCCGAAAGAACGTCCAATCTCCCAGCCCGAACCTCCTCTGCCAAGCGAGAAATTCGCTTGTCCTACGTGCCGGGCAAGTCGGTTTTTTTTGTTTGCAAACAGTTACCTTCAAATTGCCTCTCACTTACTTCCTGCTACTTGAGTATACAGGTTCAGTGATGAACAAATTGACAAGTTAACAGCCAAAATCCATAACAACAAGTTTGTCAGTAATTTCATGGTCCTGGGCAAATTTGAGCTCTTTGTCATGGCCCTGTGTCCAAACAGACTCGTCCAGTGACATCTGCGGTACCTCCGAACGACTTGCAGCAGATGAAATGGAGGAGTGTCTTTGTCGCAACCAACCAGCCAAGGAAGGTTTGGCATTGGTGAAACCTGGAAGGTCATCTCCCACCACCCGTGGGACGCCCAGGTCTCTGCGTCGTTCTCGTCGTTCGGAACCTGAAGCCCGAGGTTTGCCGTAGAAGCGAGCCCAAAGCCCCTGCGCTGCTGCAATGACACCTTCTGCATCCTTATCTTGAACATCAATCACCTGACCAGGAGGATTTTACAAACTTTCCATGAGAACCACTATTTAATATTTATACGACGTCCACAATCACTTGTTGAAGCGAACCTTCCCCAAACTGAGCGAACTTTCAAAACCCACTCAATCATAAAACCCTGTAATTACAGTGTATTTCATTTTCACCACAACCTAGCCTCCATGACATCGCCAACATGGGAATCAACTTGCAGGAGTTCTGTCAGCTTGGCAGCCTGCGCAAAGGACTGTTCGACCCCTGACGATGAAGCTCCGGCTGCCCAAAACCGCACTAAAATCTTGAGCAAAGACCGCAGCTCTGGTTTGCTCCATGTTCGGACCACGGTCCGCACTGCTTCCATCCATGCCTGCACAGACCCTAGGTTCTCCTCTTCAGCTTTCCGGACAGCTACAAACCGCATACGCTCCAACTGTTCAGAAGCTTCGTGGTTGTCTGGACAACGGAAAGCTGCTTGCAACCTACTAATTTATTTTCGCTAACAAACCACAAGACGATGGGGAAGGATCAAACGTATAGATCCATATTCATATATGTGGTTTATTTATTTAAACTAACAATAAAACA